ACCCACTTCTATAAATCGAAAGGAGACTGCGACCATACCAGAGGCCACAACATCTTGGTCTTCATATCTATCTGAAGTTCTATCTAAGACTTTCCAAAGTGTGCAACCCAAAGGCGGACTACTTGCCTTTAGGGCTTCCCACATCTGAAAGTCCCAAAAGGTGTCGCATTCGTTTAGAGCTTGAGACGTTTGCCAGTCCGACCTCATGAAGCTCATGACTTCAATGCCATCTCATTAGTTGCATAATCAGATAGACCCAGTAGGTTTAGAACGGAAGCCAAATTTTTGCACGGGTCATCGCACAATATCTCGCAGCAAATAAATTATGCCATTTACCGCCATCTTGAAGTGCAGATTCTCTCAGTAAAAAAACGATCTCAACCCATGTGTAAAGAACTCAAAGTACAGGTCGCCTGATCTGTCAAGTCGATGTTAAGACCTAAGATTAAGAGAAGCCTACAAACCAGCTGGTCTTAGTAATTTTGCCTATAAATGTACTATAATTACGTCACCCATTAATACACACATGGGAACGTATGTGTGCATATATATATATATATATATCAAATATATAAGAATATGCAGATAAGCAAAACTTCGTAAATCACCCGAGTCCGGATAGATTCGTTACCGTAACATGAACGAAAACAAGCATCTCTACGGTTGCCTTCCTGACAGCTCCTATGCCGTTAATATCGAGTCAGGTTGTGGAGAAGACATGGAGCGACTATACCGTACCATGTTCACCTCATCTTGCCAGGCGCAAGTTCTGACGTTACTTATAACTTTCCATGAAGTTGGACTGCAACCTTTGATAATGAAACTTAACCTGCGGTTAAAAAGTACGCAGCCTGTCACACAAACGCACATGCGCTCAGTCATTTTAGAACGTCGAGATGGTTCAGTGCGTACCGTCATATTAGCAGTATTGTTGGGACGGTAAAAGCTTTTGCTGCTCAACTGTCTCCAGGTCAGCAAAAGAAAGCAGAGTGCTTCGATAGCCTTATTACTGAGATCCTGGGGTTAACATGGCTGGGCATAGACTGACCCTCTGCTCTTATTTGGTCTCACAAACTGCCAAGAGCACAATTCGATAGAG